GGAATTGAACCCAGGGCCCCAGCGCTGCGAGACAGCATGCGTAGCACTACGCCATCATGCTGCCCTCTTATGCGCAAATTAAATTCAACTTACCAACAGTTTTCTGCCTCCTTATATCTTAAGCAAACTATCCTTTGTACCACACTCACACCAAAGTCTTCAAATTGGAATCCCATCAAGGAAAAAGTATAGCTATATGCATATATATTGTATTGTAGTCATCCATAATATGACCTGCAGTCATAACCAGGATATGAATGATCCAAGCTTTTGCTTCTTTAGTCAGCTGGTTTGAATAGCTTGTAAACCTTTGGTAATGTTAGACTACTTGCCTTTGCATTAATATACATTTGTTTACCAGTATAAAGTAAATATATTTTATGACTAATGTATTAAATATTAGAATGACAGTAGTATTCCAAAAGATTACCTATGTTTGGATTTTTCTGTAACTTTGAAAAGAAAAAGAATATAAACAAGCACTTTCACAAAATGTTGGCATGAAATTTCAACAAGGAAAGAAAAACAGTATTTTTTTGTGTCCTGAAACAAAACTAGGGTTCATGTCTGAGAAATAAAACCCTGCTTAGCTGAACCATTCTACTCAACTCCACCACTTGGCCTTTTCTATGAGTATCACCAGAGCATAAGACTACTCATCTCTCTGCACTGGCTTCTAGTCACAGCTCACTTAGATTAGAAACTTCAGTGCCAGCCTACAGGGCTTTCACCTCCAGACCACTGACAGGCCCTGTGCTCATGCTCTGTGAAGGCCCCCCAAACGCTGGAAAATCTACCTGCCACAATCAAAATTGGAAGAAAATTCCTATTTGGGAATATACTGTAACACTTACTGTTGAGAGCCCTCTTCTTAAATATAAACCACAGATGCTACAGGTAACTGTAAGATGTAACTGTAAGATGCTTTAGATAAAACCATCTGCCAAATGAATCAATGTAATTGTGAATTAGACAAAGCATCGCAGTTTGTGCTCCAGGAGGCCTGGATGAAGTTCACTTTTCATTACAGTTTTTGTAATTCATTTTTACTATCCTGAACGAGTGGTAAAACATTGAAAAAAGAACAGCTAACCTCGATGGTGGGAGGCTCCTTCTTTCTTCCACGAATCCAGGCTGGAACATAAGCAAAAGAAACACAATGTAAAACACCAACAACAAAGGGAAAGAAGTCAAGTAAGAGCGAGAAAAGCCTTGAAGACAACTAAATAAACAGTTTTTAAAAAGCATTCCATCTTTTAGCTTTTTTTAGGAATATACAGTAACGTTTACTGATGAGAGCCCTCTTCTACCCTATAAAACACAGATGTTACAGAAAGACCAAATTAATGCAGGAGGCTGAATTACAATAGCAAGTGTTTGTGTTGATTAAATAACTAAAAAATAGTGGTCAGATAAAACAAAAATCTTCATGGCTTCATCTCCTACTACATCAGTTTTTATTTTCTGTTATAAATTCTATTCCTTTGACAAGGAAAGGCTCCATTTCTTAAATGCCCACGTAAACATTTTTTTTTGCACCAAACAAAAATATTTAGCGCTAACCTCCATTTTAATTCTTTCCATAGGTTTACTTTTGAATTGCTGAGCCATTTACTTTCACTTCAATATTTTTTTCTTTTAGAAGGTGAAAGACCTAGCATGAAGACCTAGAAAGTAATCCAAGATTTTGAAAATAACCCATATATTTTAGGAATTGCCTGAAATATTTTATCTCCACACAAGCACACTCAAACTTTTCTCATGCTACAAAATGTTACCATAAACCTTTCAGTTGCCTTGCTGCCACATTTCGACAGTAATAATTTGGGCAGTTACTATTCTAAGAAGATCATATATCCCAATGTAAAAGGGAAGAACTACAAATGAAATCTGAATCTCATTCCTGATTTTTATTGCCTGCACTGGGGGATATAGCTCCTTAAAGGGATAGGTTTATACTCCGTTATGATCTGCATTTATTTCTCATAGAAAATCTTCAGTGGTACATCAGGGATGAAACATGGGATAAAAGTCAGCTTCAAAGCTAGGCAACTGGAGAGTCTGATAGGCCACAGAGGTAAAACAAATATTACAAAAGAAAACTAGAAAGGAAAGGCTTGTGTTAGTATGTGTGAGGAAATAAAAAAAAAATATATATACAGGTCCTTTGTTGACTGAGAGGAATGCTGGCCTTTAAAAAAGTAAATGCAAACTATAAAATATATTTTGGCTTATACTGGTAATACTTCAATGAGTGAAAATGACTGCTCATAAACACTATCATTTTTCACTGCATTGTTTCTTTAGGATACAATAATTAAAGTAAGAATATATGGAGTATTTTAAGGCACTTTAAAGCACGTATTAAAAAAAACTACTTTCAATGAAAAATGTAAAATGTGTGCTTAATACTGCTCTGGAAGGCTCCCTTTAAATATATTCTAAGTGTTAAACTGTTTCTACTGCATTGTTAGGCACTGGGGACATAAATGATCATAAACCTCTTTGAGAAATGGCATAGTTTTTAAAAATACATTTTCATGAAGTCTGGGGACTTGTTAAGAATTGCCCTTTCTTTACTAAAACAGATAATAATCCCCTTTTAATGCGTCTCCGCCGAATTTATGAAAGGAGAATCAAACTGCCCTTTAAGGGGATGATGTATTGTCAGAGTAAAGGTTGCTGCATCTTTTGTACTAAAGCAATCTACCATTATCTAACTGTTTATCTAGTCTTAAATGCCTCTTATTTTAAATACTTCAGTAAAACTGTTTATGACACTGTTTATCAAAGAATATCAGATGGGCCAGGTGGAAACTGTAAAGGTAATGAGAAACTATTAGTTATAAAAGTATCAGTCTTTTGCTACAGTATGCAGAAACACAATGACGGAAACATTTAAAGCTAGTTTTGGATTTTTAAATGATCTTAGATAAAAATGTAATTGATGAGAACGTATGGTAAGATAAGATCAATGTTTCAACATCCAAACAAAGAAAAACCATTAAGTTGTTCTCAAAAGCTTTTTTTAAGCTTCTTTAAGACCCTGATCTCCTCCAGTTCTATTGTAGAGAATTCCATTGAAGCGGAGAGTTTTAAATGACACTTTTTTATGTTGCCTACAAGCCAAAGTATTCAGTTAGCTTTTGAGATTCTTACTGAAAATCTATTTAGCCCAAGTCTTTTTCTGTGCATCTCTGAGTACGGTACTGCAAGAGATAACTAACACCACTTTCTCCCAGCACCTTGGGAGTTTGGCATTCTTTTATCAGAGCTCATTTGCATTCTTATTAGTATGCATGAAATTTTCACTGAACTTTAATACCCCAACCGCTGCATAATACACTTTAATGAGCATAAAAGTGAGCATGAAAATTAAAACTCACATTAATCACTAAATGCTACACTAAAGGAAGGGGGGGGGGGATTGAGGAGGATGAAAAAAAAGAAGAAGTGACAAGGGCTTTCCAGTGAAACGCTTGAACGCTGCATGGAGCTTGCAATCTCTGAATCTCCACAGGCACTGAAAATGACTGATGTGCTCTCAGGAATGGTGCTGACATGAGCTACAGAACTAAATGAGAAATTCCATCAGCATGTACAGTAGGTGACCACAAGGAATTAAAATTACAGAGGGCTTGTCAGCAGAGTGCATCCAGGAGATAGAGCACCCATAAATATTTATCCGGCTCCTCATTTGGGAGGGAGAAATGAACCACGTTCTCAAAGGATGCCGCTTTCTTGCCTGTTCTCCGAAAGGGCAGTCTGCGCTGACCAGAGAAAACAGCTTTTCCACAAACAGGCACGCTCAGCTGTCAAATTAAACATGTGCCGTACTGTACATAGCAACGAATCCTGTCGACCACAGCTGGGAAATGATCAACTAAGGCTTTTCTTGAGTATTCATAATAGATTTCTGTATTTGAATTGTTAATGATCAAAGACAAAGACAGCTATTTATGTAAAGCATTAGCATTTTTAAGTCTCCTTACAGTGGAGGGCTAGCTTTTCTTCTATTGTTCCAGTTATCAAAAAGAAAACATAAGCTTATGTCACTCAAGCATTTACAGAACTACAATAATGTTTCATAGCATTTTTTACTGGGTACTCAGACATAAATGATTTTTTGAGACACATTTTTTGTTCCTTTGCAATTTTTAAAAACTCTCCTAGTTATCCGATAGATATTCCAAATTGTGTTCGGTTTTCCAGTCTATACAGTAGATATAAATCAAACATAGCCTGCCACAGCTTCAGCAGATATACCATACATTAGAAAATTCAATTTAAAAAAATAAATAAGCAGAACAGAAGCTCTCATAGACTACCCCTGTCACAGAATTATGGTTCAAATCACTGGGCAATATGCAATTCTGCATGGTAGCACAGTTTGATACAGATGGGTTCAGTCACAGCCAGTGGTTCAAGTCAGGCAGTCAAAAAGTGTTAATGTGAATCACTTTCCATTCCTGACATTATAGCACTCTCCGTGAAAATATTATTCAGGCTTTTAGTCTATAGCATTACCATCCCATTCAGAGGGAATGCTTCCTTCTTGATATTCATATTCCTTTGGATTTGTTGCCTCCACTATTCTCTTTGCTCGAATGGTCTGCCCTGAAATAAAGAACAGGAAAATGTTTTAAACATAAACTCCATGCACAATTTATGATGATGCGTTGCTCCTTTGACAGCATGTGGCTTATTACCTCTAGCCCTGAGGCCTACCTCATAAGATACTCAGCTGTAATGCAAAAATCTGGTCCAAGCACTATGTAAATATAGCTTTTTTACCAACAATATCTTATGCAAATTTATGAATAGGGTACAACAAAGGAGGGTCAAACATTTTTAAAGCTTTAAACACACCAAATGGGCCAAGTTAGAAATTGCAGTTTAGAAATTTTAGTCCAATCTATTTTAAGCAAAAAAAAATAGGAACACATTCCATAATTTACACACCACAAATAATATCGATTGTAAGAGTTAAGGAGCACGAGTCAGGAGTCATGTTTTTAAAAAGCAAATGAACTTTGTTCACAAACACTTTGACATCTTTTCTACTTACTGTAAACTCAAACAATTCATGAAATATTCATTCATTTGTTGTCACAGAGGGTAGAGGCTAGTTGCAATGAAGTATAGTATCTGACCATGGTGTGGATACAGATTCACTGAAAGCCTTTAAGAGACAGCGTGATGACATTTTGCATGTTCATGGTGAGATACAAGCAACCAAACAAATTCAATTCAGTGGTATTATCTCATTTGTATTCTGTGCTTCCAGTATATATATACCTGTAATAAGGACATGCAGAAGATCTTGCTATCGAGATCTTTCAATGCATTTTGAAAAGCCAAGTAGAAGCCTTTTAACCCAAATGACAGGGGTTCACACAATTTTCAATGCAACTGATTAACTGGTGAGCACCATCTACAAAACACTATGGGTTTTAGACAAATTAAGGATTTATAAAAAACAATTTAGTTTTTTTCATAACTGCAAGCCTGTTCTTAGTGATTAATTATACTCTGAATGTTATTTAATGCTAAAAAATGTGACTCTTTCTGTAAAGCAGACAATGCAGGTAAAAGAAAACTGTAAATTTCCCTTGCAAAATATTTTTGGTGCTACACTTCCTGTCCTCCCCAAAAAACGACACAAGTGTGTTTGAAAAACAAAATAGTTTATCATATAAATCAGCTACAGTAATTAATGATACTTGCCTGAAAGCGTCCATTTGTACCCATTACTAAACATCTTTGATCGTCTAAGTAACCATTAGGAACATTAAAGCTTCTCTAACAAAAAGGTAAGAATACATCACTTTCCTCATCGTTTAAGTGCAAACACCTGCTGAAGTGCCACCGATTGAAAAAACAGCAATGAATTTGGCATGTCCTGACATTTATACAAGTTCTCACATTTTATAGAAACACTGCAGGTGAACGTTACGGGTATCAAAAGCAAAATGTCAATAATATATACTTGAGCAGTTTGTATTCTTAGAAGAATGACATTCATATTCTATTTGAGAAAATGACAAATCAGTCCTTCACCTAGAAATGGTGTGAAAAAGTATATCCAGGAATTATCAATGACCACAGCACAAAATTAAAGTATTCTACATTCCTTACTACAGAGTTGCTGAAATGTAGAAATCATAGTGAATAATTAAAAATAAGTTAAAAAAACATTACATTATGTAGAAAAGCTCTCTTTAGATATCTCAGCATAACTGATGGGTTAAAATTGGGCACACACACACAACACGCATAGTACCAGGTAGAGAAATAATATTTATTAATATTGATAACCATTTTACTTTTCAAATACACTTTAAAGAGTACAAACAGAGATTAGTAATGGATATTACAATCCACTCAGTAACAGGGTTATGTTTAAATATATTTAGCTTATTGTTTTAAATAATTCAACTTCAAAAAATTCCCTAGTGGATTCAGAACAAAGCCAGTTCACAAACAAAAACAAAGCACCATAGCAAGATAAATTTCTGTAAAAAAAACAACACTGAAGATATGAAATACATTATTCTAAGTATGACTTTGTTGTTATGTTTATTTCGGGAAAGATATGCCTTTCACACACTGTGGTCTGCCAGCCCCCAATAAACCTCCTCAATTTAGTTGTAAACTTTTTTTGTATTCTGTTAAATTGTTCTGGAATCCCTGCAAAATATTCCAAAATTGCTTTTTTGAACTTCTGTGTTCACATTATTTTAACCCCTGTATTTTCTAGTGGGATAGGAAAATTCTGTTAAAAGCCCAGAATTTAAACATTTATCTTTTTATTTTGTATTAACTGTATAGGATACAAGATAAATATGATGCTGTATGTAAGACTTAAATCCTTTTAAAGTTGGGAAATGATCTACTTTGGTAAAAACTTAAAAAATCCGATTTTGGCATCACAATTGCATTGATTAAACATTATTGTTACGCATAATTTCAAAAGAACTGACACGGTTCTAGAACATTTAACCATTGTTCACCTCTTACAAAATGAGAGAGAGTAGAAAATGTAGCACCATGTAAGGTTATACACCTACTGTGGTTATTCTGTCTGTGCTTTATAAGGGGTAGGCTATTTCTCAGTAGGTAATAAATGTGTGTGGTAGCATTACATTGATATATTGCTGGGGTTTACTTGCTGTATTGTCAGTAGAACTCTGCGACAAATGGAAACAATAAATAAATGACAACTGTGCTTAGGGTTTTCCTGATGAAGGGAGTTGAATAAATTGGGCTGTCTGACAGTCAAACCAGTGGATTCAGCTAGGCCACGGAGCCCCCTTCCGATTAGTTACTTCCTGAGGCCAAGACCAAAACAGGATCAGTGGGAAACTTCAACAATATCAGGGGGGTCTGCACTGATTATTGCTTGCACCTCGCAAAATTTACATCAGAATTAATAATCAGATAACCTACTGAAACAGAAGTATGGGGAGGTGTGTGTGTGTGGTGGTGGTTGAGCTGATGATGTTCTCATGCATATTTATAAGATCACACCTGTCTGAGCCAGTTTCATTCACGCGGCACTCTGGTAATGCAAATGTCAGGCTACAGCAGCAGCAAAATCCAATCTACTAAATAAACCAACATCTGTATTGCTTATATTATTCTTTCTTATGACTGAAAATCATTCAATCATTGTTTTCTAATAAGCTATAAAGGAAGTATCAAGGGGAGGCACTTCTCTTCCTTCCTTTTGGATGAGGTAAATCCATTTCAGTTTTAAAACTTCTATTTAATAAAGCAACGCCACCCTGATTAGTAGCTCTGCACACCTTTTTCTAATTGGAAAGCATAAAACTACCCAGTGAGTTCGGTCACACTTTTCATTGTTATCTAACACACAAACACACAAGATTAGACTTACCAAGCCTCCAATAAAAGCTCAGCAAGATATCACATGTGAATTTGTGATGTTTCTTTACTTAAATGTGACTGAATGTGGTGTCAAAAGACACTGTAAAAAAAGGTTAAATATACCAGGAATGTATACATTAATAACAAATGAACAAAGAACTGCAGAAAGCTAATCTTTTCTTAAATGATGAATGGATTCATTAACTTTCTGTTAAAATTGTAACACTAAATGTGCAGATATCTTTAGATGTAAACAGACTACATTCCTATTTGTAGTCATTTGTTTTGTGTTCGCACCCTTTCCAAATAAGTGCAAATAAACAGTGCTGAGATACTGAATGCTAATTGACAGATTTATGAAGACTGAGTAAGTTTGTGTGAGCTCGCTTTATCTAATCAAATTGTGGACGAAGGCTGGCACTTGCAGTTTCTTCCCTGTTTTCTTAATATAGGCGATACAGGAGACTGTCTCCATGGTTACCAGTAGCCAGTCTTTAGGTAACGGAATTACTACCTATAGAAACAGCAAGTGCAAGTTCAGATAGCTGTAACTTTGTCTTCGAAACTACATTTCAAAGAAAGTTCTTTAATGAAAAGCAGATATTTCAGTTTCTTACTAAATTAGAAAATCACTACAAGCTGCTACTCTAAGGATTATAATGAAGCAGAGTTTTTTATATTTTAAACACTTAGGTACTTCTATGATACTCCCCTAACATGAATTCCTGTTGCCTTTTAATGTATATACTGTGTTTTGCAAAAGTATTCAGACCTTGTGATGCCCAATTTTGTGAAATCCAAAAATAGTGCATACAGATTTTTAAACTTAACTTATTCAAACTCCCAAAGCTTCAACTGCAGACTTCTAAAGGTCAGATAAGTTACAGTAAATGACAGCAAAAATTAAAAGAGAACAAATGAGATGTTTACTACGTACGGTAAGTATTCAGACCCAAGAACTCACTATTTGGTGGAAGCAACTACAGCCACAAGTGTAAGTCTCTCTACAAGCTTTGCTCACAGATATGATACAATTTTTGCCCAGTCCTCTTGGAAAAACTTGCTCAATCTCTTTCGTTCTTGAGGCTCTCTTGTGATAGAAATCATGTCAGGTCTTTGATTGAGTAACTCCAGAACATTCACTTTATTTTTAAGCCACTCCAGTGTAGCTTTCGCCTTGTGCTTTGGGTCAGTATCCTGCTGAAAGGTTAATTTTTGTCCCAGTTTTAGCTCTGAAGCTGGTCGTCCTCTATGATTTGCCAGAACTTTGCTCCATTTATGTTCCCATCAGTCTTGACAAGCTTCCCAGTCCTTGCTGATGAGTAACAGAACTAGAACACAAAGCTGCCACCACCATGCTCGATATTCATGATGTTGTACTATGTTGGGTATGCAACAGATTTAAAGCTTTCCATTTTGACCAAAAACCTCTAATTAAACCTCTAATTTTGTCTTGTCCAACCACAAAACCTTTTGCCACATGTATTACATAGTGCTTTATTGCTAACTCTGTGCAGGATTTGCAAAAGGCTAGCTTTGTGGTGTGACTGAGCTATTGCTGACTCGTACATTTTCTTCCATCTCAGTAACTGAGCTTTGTACCTCTTTCAAAGTTGCTGTTGGCCTCATAGCTGCAAACCTAACCAGTTACCTTCTTGCCCAGATGCTCAGTTTGGAGAGACGGCCTAATCTTGGTAATGTCCACTTCTTAATGATCAATTTCACCA